TATAAGCGAAATGCCACTCATGCAACATCCCGAAATCTCCAGAACCATAAAGTCTACAAACTTGAAATTTGGCATGTATGTACCTCTTGGCTTGTAGGTGCTTGCTAAGAAAGGATTTTTTGAAATGACCATCAGATCATTAGTATTTCTTATATTATTATTAACACACTCTGATGCTAAGGAGTTAGATGGTCCACTCGCCCTCCCCACCTGAAAAGAATTTTGTTCCAAATGCCACTTGGGCATGGGCATGGCCAGTGCATGACTCATCCAGCCTACAGGCTCGCAGTTTAGACATTCTGCTCCCACTCCTCACCTGAAAAATACTCTGATGCTAAGGAGTTAGACTGAGGAAAAGAAGGGGATAAGATAGGAGAGGATCAATGGAGCCAGTCTGAGAGAGAGAAGGGGGATAGGAGAGGAGAGGCTTCTATGGGGCAAGTCTAAGGGACAGAAGGGGATAGGATAGGATATGTTTCTGTGGGGCAAGCCTGAGGGAGAAAAGGGGATAGGAGAGGCTTCTGTGGGGCAAAACTGAGGGAGAGAAGGGGAGAGGAGAGCCGTTCGTAACTACTCATTAATTTTCAAGCTGTAAGTGTTGCTTTATCAACCCCGATCACATAGTTTCATAGCGGAGTACAGGTATCCAACTAGTTCAAGATATTTTTAGCTGGGAGACAATGTCTGTATCTGTGGGAATCATTTATTGTTTAATGCAAATTATCTATTTATGAAGTTATACATATCTGCAAGATATATTGAACTGAGGGTCATTAAAGCAATAGGCAAAGTGATCCATATGTTCTTAAACAGCTGTGACTTCAGAGAGCCTTCAGAAAACCTCTAGCAACTGATACTGTACGTACTGCACAATTAAAGTGACAGTGGAGTCAAGCATGCTATTTTTGCTTTTATTTTGTTTTATATTCTTGCCTAATAAAGAAAAGCTATTCATTTATACATTTTCTATTTATTGCCTTGCTTCTTTGACTGGAAATTATCAACTTCAATGTTGAATAGGATAGAATTGACCCAAACAGACTCTGTTGCAAACTGGGATTCCTTGGACTCCTGCTCCAGATGGTAGTCATGGCCTTTGTGCAACTTTGAGCTGTGCACCTATTGCAGCCGTTCATGCATCACGAGACTACTCTCCATCATTCATCTTCTGGTCACCTCTTGGATGGATTATTGTAATGTGTTGTATAGGAGCTGTTTTTGAAAAACATCAGGAAACAAAAGCTGGTGCAAAACGTAGTGCAGGAGTAATATGCATACCAAATTAGTACATGTTAAACCTCTGCTCCGTGAACTTGATTTGTTGTCAGTTTGTTTCCAGGCTCAATTTAAAGTGCTGGTTATGACTCATAAAGATCTACAAGACATGGAGCCGGATTATTTGAAGGATCATCTGTCTCCTGTTATATTTATCCATTCCATTAGACCTGGCAATTGGGATATGTTATGGGTCCTGTCTACCAAGAGTTTCATCTGACAAGAACTAGGACTGCCATTGCATCCATCTTCTGGAATATCCTCTTTCTTGTGGTTATATTGGTCCCAATCCTGATGGTTTTTAGGAAGTTCCTGAAGATATGGCTGTGCCATCAGGCCGGGGATCCCATAGAAGTGGGGGGACTGCAAGGCGGCTGTACTGTTTGCTGTAAGCTGCCTACGATCACATATGTCAGAGGAGGAGGAAAAAAGTTTATAGTGTTCACATTATGAAATATTTACCAGATATTTGATGCTGACTTTTAATTTACAGATGGCTATCCACAAGAAGAAATGGTTTACAGATGGAGAAAAAACTCAGTAGAAGCTGCAGATCAGAAATCTTGGAGACTTTATCAGTTTGACTTCATGGGACTCAGAAATACTTCTGATATTGTGCAAACATCAGCAGGTAATAAATAAGAATTTCCTGTGCTGAGCTTGAAAGATTCCTTGCACCCATTTTTCTGTGTAAAATATCTTGTGATCACAATAAAAAAATATACATACCTATATGAATGATAGGAGACAAGAAGAGAAAGCCAACTCTAATTTTCCTAATAATTTTGAATCTGTTTGAAGAAGATCAATTCATAAAACTTACAGAATTATAGCTTCTTATGGGACATATTAATGAAAAAGGGTTACAAAATGATGCTGGATAATTTAAAACAATGTGTGTCAGATATAGATATGCAACTAGATTTTTTTCAGATCTTCCTACAGATCAGTGGTGGTTTTCCATTTTTTTTACTACTAGTTTGCTTGCGTGTGTGTGTGTGTGTGTGTGTGTATGTGATGTTTCTGCGCATGCGCAGAAGCGTCCAGTGGGTGGGCGGAGCCTCCTGCCACCTCCACTACTGGTTCACTCAATCCAGGCCGTACTGGGAGCAACCCACCTCTGCTAGAGATGTGTTTTTGAGTAGACATCATTATATACCAACTAGTTATCTAAATCAGATAACTCTTCCCAAAACTAGAAAAGCATTAACCTTAGCTTGTTTTAATGTGCTGTGAAGATTGTAGTTGAAGTGAAATATCTATCTATCTATCTATCTATCTATCTATCTATCTATCTATCTATCTATCTATCTATCTATCT